GTGTGTGACAAATCGTCTGTTGGTCAACCATAAACTGGCCGAAAAAGCACTCTTAGAACTATTCCAGTCAAGATGCAACCTACTGCTGATGGCACAAAACTCTTCAGACAGGCCAGCAGCTAATGCTATTGCTGCCATCACTGTTGTTATTAACTCATCCATCATTGCCTTAGCTAGGTTTGTGAACATGTCTCTCTGGAGTAAAGCTTGCCCTTTTACAGACTCAAACCTGAAACCTGCTTTGTTGATCAGCAGTCAGTTTCAAGATCAATTGCAAGAGGCAGAAGCAAAGATCTTTCTTGTGGAAAATAGACTAGTACATACAACATTAGCTGTACTATGATATTTACTAGACAAACCAACTTGTTCATACTTTTACATCAGCTCACATTTTACCAAGCTGTGCTGATATGTGCCATGTGTTAGATATCATGTTAGTCATTTAGGGAAGAGCTGTGTGGTGTGCTAATGGATGCACTTTTCGGTAAAGTCTGTGTTTGGTGTAAAATACTGGGTGGAAAATTATAGTTTTTTGACTTTCACAATACAAAATAAAAAAGGGGGCTGAATGATCATTGGCAATTTTGGCATTTTTGCAGATTATATTTGAAAACAAAAATTTAAAAAATCCAAATATTGTTCATTATGTTTGGAAGACTAGACTGCTTTCTTTTCATAAAACATGTTTTTCAAAACATTATATTTACGCATATAATAAGAAGAACACATAAATATGTGAATTTCCACTCAAAATATTTCATGAGATTAATTTCACTCTTTAATTAGTTTAAATAAATCAAAGCGGTGTTTTTCACTGCTATAGGTCGTAGACTGGTCTACCAGATGCAGCATATTAATTACCTGCAAGTTTCTTTAATACAGTGAATAATCATATTAAAGCATAAGTTGTTTACAAAGATAAAGATTTATTATGAAGAAAACAGCAACTCATAACATGAAAGCAGTAATTTGGGGTTTGACATTCAAGGACATTACTGCTGTATGGAGCTCAATCTCATTCAACAGGTTTTGAGGAAAGTATTGATGATTAGTTGACAGAGTCCTCAAAAATCGCGAGTCTGAAATATGATGTAAACAACCTTATAAGGCAAATATTAATTCTTTGGTTTACATTCTCAGAAGTGTTTCTCATACATTGCTTTAGCATTACTGACCAGCTTTGGTGGCTATCTGTTTAGCATACTGTTATCATAAGCAGCACAAAACAAACTTTAAGGATAGCGTGCTATGGAGAGCATATAAATGATGCGTATGTTTGCTTATGAGATCAATAGATGTGTCTCTGCTGCGTCCACTGATCTTTTGACCTTATCTGGGAAGGATCTGCTTCTCTGTGATTTCCAGGTCTTCCACTCGTGAATGCCACAGCTGAGTAGTATTTCCTTGTTAGTGAAGCTGCACATTCAACACCAAGCGCTCCTTTTTGTTTAATTCCTTGCCAAATCTAACAGCCTCTGTTGGGCATTAGATTTAGGCTTACTTAGCATATCTTCAGCATGTTTCTTGCAAATGGCTGGAAAGCCTGTAACCTCTTGGCTGCTCACTACATGTTTTCTTTCATTTGATATTTTAATTACTTTTTTTCTGTTTTGTGTCAACCCTCGGGTCAGGTCTAAGGAGTTTAAAAAAGAAATCAACTACACTTCTGCAAGTTTCTTTAAGTTTTCGTGACGACGTTCCGTGAAACTTACACAAGTCCAGTCACTTTCTTTACGAGCTCCTTAGATCACCAGGGCCTGGATGATTCACACAGACACCTTGGGTTCAGGTTTTGTAGGTTTTCTTGCTGCTTAGTTTTTGTTTCGTTCTTTTTGTCGGAAAGGCTGGTTTATTGGTTTTGGCAGCATTGGAAACCCCAAAGCTTATTTGCTTTCTTTTGGTGCAGTTGTAGTTTAGTGAGAAACTTTCTGTTATGATAATTCATGTGCATCCCTGGACTCCAAGTAAAGTAAATCTATTTACTTAAACTGTTAAACAAGCTTTGACATATTGCATAGCAAACAATAGTTCTGTCAAGATCATTTTGTTACATTCATAGTTATATTTAACAAACTATTTACAAACATTTTAACAATTTCAAAGCCCAAATCATTTCCATGAAGCGAAAAATAAAATTGTTCTCTCATGGACATTTTGAATAACTTCAGATCTTTTCTGCACTTATCCCATTATCAGTTCTGAAAAAAAAAACCCAACAAGGTATTTTTTTCATCAGCGACCACATTTATAAAAGGATTATTATTCATTAATTTAAAAGAAAAAGTCTAAAGTCTGCTTTTGTGTGTGGCATCACCTCACGTGCCAGCAGGGCCAGACGCTGTCACAGTGGTCCAAATCCTTTGAGTCATTTTCTTCAAAGATTCCTCTTGGCGTTTTGACTCATCCTTACAGCCTAGCTGAAATTCTAGGCGCTAAAATCCTTTGATGCTTTGTTTATATCCTGCCAACAAAATGAAACTCTAATGAAAGAACCCACTCATATCTAAATCTAACGCCATCCTTACCTTTTCATTATTCACAATTTGATGGTAATAAAAATGTTAAATAGATTCTTAGCTTTTCTGTGTGTGTGTGTGTGTGTGTGTGTGTGCGCTCGCGTGTCAAACAGAATAATTTATGGTGAAAGTAAGTTTCACTATCATTAATGTAACCAAGGTCTACAGCTTCCTCTATAGAGTGTCGCTGTTGAAAAAGCACACACTTCATATGAAGGACTTGCTGTTGCTTTCTGAAAATTAGATCAAAGTGGTTTGACAAGCTCCATTACACTAAAACTGTCACATTTTACCCTTTGACACGTGAATTATATACCAGACCTTACTGGAAAGGAGCAATTGTACAGTGTGCCCGGATGCTCCAGTGAGCATATACAGCTGGCAGCAAAATGAAAAGAAACAAACAAAGATCCAAATTAGCTGAACCTGTCTTCATGAAGTCATATTTCTTCAAACAACGGTCCCTTCCTGATTATGTTTGTAGGGCAACATATATTACCCCTAAATAAATTTAAAAGATGAACAAAATCCATATAAAGAACCTGAGAATTGGTGTTGAAGAATGCAGAAACATGACTCCAAATAAATGCCGGTGTCACTTCACACACACACTCTGACTGCAATTTGTGAAACAGTCACGAAATGAATTTATTGATTGGTGTTCATGATTTTCCTTTTGGTTTGTGCAACGATTGCCACACAGTCTGAGAGATGTTTGCGATACACAAAATTATGTCTATTAGTTCATTCTTTTGGAAAAAAAGATCTCTGTGCTTATTTGGTGTTTTGAAAGAACAGAGTCCATAGTAGGAGGCAGAAGGTGTTGGCGGTGGCAAGAGTTACTCATTATTCCCTTATGTTTGAGTCCCACAGAGGACCAGTGGTTTTTATGTTTTTCATGCTTTGTACAGAGAACCAAACAATAAAGTGGTTTTCATTCATTATTTGGTTATGATTAAGATTCATGTTGGCCTCGAAGCAAATACATCTTGAACAGTTTTACTGAAACACAGGAAAGAGAGAAGACTACAGAGCTGACTGAGTCTGCAGAGAAAAACACTGGCATAGTACTGTTGCACTGGAATAATGAGCAAGCGAAATACCATTAAAGCCTATTACAATTAGTTTCACAGTCCTAATCAATATCCTGTGTTTTACGCAGCATATTACTGCCAAACTGACCTTTCGCAGTCGTTGAGGTCTGCGTTGCTTGCTTAAAGTACAACAATTACTACTTGTTACAAACCTGGCTTTTCTTTTCACTCACCTGTCCCTCTCAGAGGCACAGAACTCTCTTCAAAAGTTAAATGCGTTAACTGCCCTGAAAAAATGATAACAAGAATGTGTGTTGACAAAGAAACAGATCATTTGGTGACTATTTGGTGTTTTTATCTTGAGAGCAGGTATGATTTTGCTGAATTACTCACTGTTTGGTAAAACAGCTGTCAGCCTCAGAGGTCAGAATATGTCAGGTTTGTGTTTGCGGCTTGATTCAGCTGCCCCCTGTGGCCAGTAAAAGTGTTTGCTCATTTTAATATTTCATATCTGTCTTTATTTATCAGCTTCTTGAGTCATTGTCATTCCCACCGCATCCCACGCAGGTGCAGGTGTCTGTGAAATAATCCCCTTTGTTGTTTTTTTTGTTTTTGCTTTTTTTTTCATTGTGATGACCCAGAAGAACCCAAAAGTATCGACGTTTCTGTATTTTGCATTTTGTTGTTTGTCGCAGATGGTCTTCAAGAAGCCCATCAGCAGAGGAAAAATGTAATGATCTTTAAGTAAGAATAAGGGGTTTATTTGTTTGCAAGCAACTGCAGCGTTCTCCTAATATCATGAAGTCAAACGTCTTCACAACTGTGACAGATCTTAACAGATACCCGCTTTGTTTGCTTTATGGGGCTTTTCCACGCGCGTGGCTTCCAATTTCCTCGGTTCAAAGGGTGATCGTTCTCAGCCTGACGCTGGACTTGACCGCTCCAGCAGATGCTGTGCACTTTCTTTCATGACCAAAAGCACGTCAATTACCAGCTCCATCCCGCCCCGCCCTGCGTGACAGCAGTATCCAAAAATATATGAATACTATTGAGGTCTCTGTGGATCGCCTGGAGGCAGAGACTCAGGAATAGCGTCAGTTTCGTTTCAAAGCGGAGCAATTATCCCAGGCCAGGCTGGACGAATCGATTCCTGCAGACACTAAATGCTCCTGGCCAATTATAAAGGCAGTGTGTCCTCCTTTATGCTGCCTATTCGTGGGGAAGCCATCAGCAAGCACCGGGACAAAGCCCGGACTACTTTGTTTTCTATCTTCATTCATTAAAAAAATCTTTTATTTTCTTCCCTCTGTTATCGCCTGTTTTTATATTTTGCCTTTTCCACCAGTTACCCGTTCTAATTGTTACTGAGGGGCGCCCCCTTCCTCCTCGCATCATGCTCCACGTGATCACAGCCAGCTGCTGCTGAGAAAGCGAGAGAGAAAGAGGGGGAGAGAGAAACACCAACTCGCCGCGACTCTGAACGCACCGCACATACAAACTAAATCGGGAGGACCGCTGCTCGTTTCACCCGTGGATACTATTACACAAGTGCCGTCGTCTCCAAATCCTGCCCGTGGGATACTCTGGCTTCATCCTCTCTGCTGTGCAGTTTTATCACCTCCTTTTATATCACCCTCCTTTTCTCCCCCTTTGCCATCTTTCTCCCCTCTCCTCATCTTTGAGCATCTTCTCCTGCTCGCAAGTCTTCTCGCTTGCGTCGCTAACTTTTTTCCTCCATCCCACACGCCTCCTCCATCGCCCACCAACCCCTCGGCAGTGCCCCCACTAGACCTCTTTTTCTCCTTCTCGCACTCTCGCTTGGATCGGGCGGAACCTATTTGGCTGGTCTACACGGGGCACTGCTACATGGGGCGCACGGTCTCGCTCGGAAAATGTTCTGCTGTAGGTCTCTAGGCGCCCCGCTGAACCTGTTGGGATTGGAGTTGTCGGTGCGCGTCTGCGTCTCTTTCCCACCTCGCTTGTGCGGTCGGGGCCAGTGAGAGATGGGTCTGTCCGTGGCGGCTCAGGCACCTCTCGAGGAGCCCCGACGACTGCGCCGGTGGAGCGGGACAGCGGGGGGCTGGCTCAGGATCACACTCGTCTCGTTTCTCGCCACTTTACCTGTGGAGCAGCTGCGCGCCTTCCCTTCCTCCCTCAGCGACTGCCAGACGCCGACCGGCTGGAACTGCTCCGGTGAGAGTCATTTTATTCACTAGCAGCCTCGCTCCAGGTTGTGTGCAGTAAATATCTAGACGCACATCGAAGTTAAACTCATGTGAGACTAGTGTTAGATCCCCGAGACTGAGCAGCACGACCAGATCAAAGTTTAGGAGTGCGCTTGCAACAGACGCCTCATTCTCCTCGCTGTAGTTTTGTGATTGTGTCCTGTTAGCATGCCCGGGGTCGGTGCTGGAGCCGTGGAGCACTCTGGCTGCAGATACCGACCGCAAAAGCCCGACGATGAGGGGATGCAGAGTTTTGGAGGGGGTTTGCTTGATGTGCATTTAGCCTCGCTGAGTTCGCCTCGGAGCTTGACAGCAAAGCATGCAGCGGCGATCATGTCACCGGGCAGGCGAGCGGGAGGGTCGATGATTTCGATCCGACACGAAGTGGAAGCAGCGACATTAAGGATCATTTTAACGAGAAATAGAGCGGGCGGGGAGGAGTTGGGGTCTGTGGGAAGCTTGTCCACGGAATAAGGCGGCGTGCGCCACAATAACATCAACACGGTTAGTTTGAGGTCGCAGAAATTCCGTTTGAGTTCAAACGGGCTTCTTTCGTGTGGTCTGCCAGTAACCCGAAGCAAAAACACATTCTAGTCAACTGTAGGGTGTTTTATCGCGCTCAGATTGACCATTAACTTTAACCCAGCAAATTGATCGCAGCAGGAAATTACAGCCTAGTTTTATGGGCTTATTTGGCAGGCAAATTGTTTAATTAATTGACACCTTTAAATAATAATAAAAACAATGCTGTCGTTTCTTTAACAGACCACTGAGCTATAAACTTGTTTTCTCCCTTTGGTGCCCAAAACGATAAAAGAAGCGGAGCGGGCTGCAGAGCGCAGCGCCTCGCCTCCCTTTGTAAATCAGCCGACTGTGCCGCCATAAATTTCCCCTGTCGCCTGTCTAAGTCTGAACCCTTAAAATAGCTCTAAGCCGGTTCCACACACTCATGGGCAGTAGCAGTATTGATATTATAGCTCATAACAGCCAGACATCAATATGAGAGTTATGACTGCTGTTTGCTGCTTGAAAAAAGGAGTATCAGTGTAGCCTGCTTGGATGACATCTCAATAAAAAGAAAGGGGAAGTCATTTATGACAAAGAGCATAACTGATGCACATGTGACATGTATAGGAATGATATTAAGAAATGCTACATGACAGATCTATATTTGATTCTACAAACTAGACTGCCAACCAGAAAGGGGGATGTCTAATTTGGATATCAAAGTTTTAAAAATGAATTTGATTATGATAATGGGCTGATTAAGTCAGACTTAATTAAGTACACGCAAACAAGAAGCGATTGAACTCTATCGTATTACTGTAACCTGTCGAAGGTTGCTGTCTTTATTCTAAGCATCTCTGGTATTCATAGGGTTGAGACCAAAACCGTGATGCAAACAACCGCAACATCAGACCGTGATTCTATCTTCCTGTACCGTGATACCCATGTTGAAGTGCTAATGTTGAAGGATCACTGAGGTAATGAATGAACTGGAAATACATGAGGATAATTTTATGTCATTGATCCACTGATGACAAGCGATCAGGTGTGTGGTACAAGGATTTTTTTCCCTTGTTTTTGTTTTATTATTCATCCTGTAATGAAAAGCCCAGGTATCAAGTGAAGCCGTGGCCCAAGAATCTACAGTACATGCAGATGAAGTCATGAATGAGTTCATCTGAACAGTACTCTCCTCTGATTCAGGCCGATAATTGATCATATCTTTATTCAGATTACTGCATTGTAACCTACTGGAGGCTGGTTTTGTGCCGCCGCTGTTGATGGTGGTGATCAGCACGTAATCACTGATAATGGTACACATCCTGTCCCAATACACACTCGCCTGCCTCCCCACTTCCTGACACACTCTCATCTGCATTTCAGCGAAAGCTTTTATCCTGCACGCCTTGAGGAGGTTTAAGTGCATATGATAGAACAATGGACAGGCACTCACATGCACCCAGCATCAGTTACAATTAATAGAGCACAACAAGTGACATGTAGTCCACCGTGAAAAGATAAGACCCTTTGAAAGATAATAAAAATAAGATAATGATATTAATAAATCCGCAGTAATGGCACAGGGCTTAATTATCCACTTCTTCCTAACAACACCACCAATGTGTGACAGTTTGCAGCGCAGGGAGAATGGCACTGACTGAAAAACAGTTTGGTGATGAGCCCAATGTCACTTCAGTGCTAAGAAACAGATAATTATGGGCAGTAGTATCAAGAAAACGAGTTGCCAGTTTCAACAGCATCGCCTTTGAAAAAGCAATGAATTCGATTTTGTTTTATGGAATAAAAGGGAGTTAGAAAAAACTTGGTTTGACAAAGACTGCCATTCTGTTTGGCTTGCATCTGTTAATGACTTGAGGAACTGCCAGCGAGGAGGCAGAACAGCTCAATCTCAATCCTAGAAGGGCACCAAGTGAATGTTTGAGTGCGAGTACAGACATAAAATTGTTCTTCAAATCCCTCGTGTCATCTTGTACTAGGTAGTATTTGTGTAAAGATTTGAATGTACGAGTTGTGGCTCTGTGAAGCTGCAGCAGAAAGAAATGTTTTCCACACTTCTTAAGGTCCTATATAGTATATATTTCTTTAATTAATTATATTTGAGTTAGGCGCGTGGGAAGCTATAATCATTGCATACATTATGTGCCAAGATTTTTAAAAGGGATAACTGAGCTGTGAAATGTTTTTTAACACTTGCCACCATATTGATGGAGTAATGTTACAGAAAATGAAGAATTTGACATGTTGACACATCACAGTAGGTTAGGAGCAGTACGGTTATAAAGTTAACGAGTGCTGAATTCCATTTAGCTGCTTCAGTTTCTGATGCTGTGCATGTATTGTGCAGACTCCTTGTCACACTGTTATGACTTTCTAGGACACCTGAGTGTAACTGCATCATTGTTAACGTAATTAAAACACATGATTTTTTTCCTGCCATGACAAGTCATAATGACTGCTATAAAAAGGGCCCATTTGATCTGCGAGTTGGTCGATTTTCTATTGATTTGTGTTTATACTTGTTGCTGCATCATTATTTGTCCAGTAAAAGGTTATCATTTTCAGGATGTAGAATTAAGGGATTCATTAAAAGCCATAAGAGAAAAGAGGGGATGCTTATTTTTCTTTATTGGTGTTTGTGTCACTTCATGATGACGCATGAAGTAGTTGTGGCATTCAACAGGGTTCAGTGCCAATACTTTTTACCCTCGACATCCTTCATCTAGGCAATATTATCAGAAAACAAGCAGTCATATGTAAAGAACACCAAGGTATTTCTAAATTTAAGTGAAACAAATTAGCTAAAATACCAGCACCTATTAAAGACATAAAGGCCCACATGGCATGTAATTTTCTGTCTGTGAAGTTAGACCTGAATTTGGCCCTACTTGCTATTGTAGACAGACTTAAACATAAGAAAAGAGTAGCAATGACAAACAGACCATGATATGTCGATTAAAGTTCAACATCTTATAGTATGATGTATTTGGTAATAACAAGTGAAAAAGAGTTAACAAGGTGAAGAGGGTGGTTTTAGATGTGAACTTGTTGTTTCACTTGGGGGCGTAGGATATGTGGAATATTCACTAGAGACTAAATGTCAGATATGTTAGGACTTGGACGTGGCTTTTGTTACTTTATAGTCATTTTTCCCTTGTAAAGGTCCTTTATCTAACAAATGAAACACACCCGTCTCGTGTTTAGTATCGTCAAAATCAGGAACATCTAGTTCCTAGATAGTAGCTTGCTGGACATGGACCTTAAGTTGCACAATTTATTGCTGCCTGATCCTGTGATGATGTCGATCAGTGCAACAAGTACATTGAGTTTTAAGATCCTAAAAGGCTCCCTATAGCCAAACTGAAGGCTCGCCTCACCTGTCATTTAATATTGCCTTAACACTACAGTAATGTGTTAATGTTACTACTGTCATGTTGGGACTCTTTGAAACACATTTCTGTACAGATTTGTGCTGGGTAAAATTCTTTCCGGTGACAATTCACCTGCATGCACTCAAAAACTGCTGCTTTATCCAAGATGTCATACTCATCCAACGCAGTTAACTATATAATTAGAATTTTGTGTAATTATCTCAATCAAACCTGCGATTTTTGGGCTTGTATTGCTTTAAACAAGCAAGTAACGTCTGTGTTATATACCGACTGCACATCAGCTGGCTGCTAGACATCCTTAACAGATGTTAAGGATGTTGCAGACTTTTACACACGATCAGCTCAAAGCTTTTGGCTGTATTTGGTCATATTAAAACAAGTAGTAGAACAATGCATTCATAGGTTGCTGAAAGGAATTCAGTCCAATTCAGTTTTATCTTTATCACACATTTCTACTGTAATAATAAACTGTATGAATGACTGCTCACAATTTAATTATACCTTACATCTCCTGTGGGGACATTTCTGTGATAAAGACAATCTGTTCTTCAGTGAGTACTTTGCTATTGTTAACTTTAAAAGTCCATGTGATGCTTTGAGACTTATAGTGACAGGGATAAGTGTAGAATATGCAAAGCCTTCTGCAAATCCCATCAAGTGGAGGGAATTTAAGAGCATTCAGGGGATAACTGGCCATTTGCTTTCGAGATCTGTCAAGACAGAAGTCAGACATACTTGCATGCAGGTTTACACCTCTGACAATAAACTGCAATGACAGATGAATTTTGAGATAAGCAACGCTGGCTTGGTTTAATCGAACCAATCTGAAGTTGCTAATTGGTTCTATTAAAGTAGTGAAATGAAAGTTGGTCAACTAAGAATGCTTTATGTTTTACTTTATTTAAAAAAAATCTTGAAAATTTGTTTAAAGTTTCAGGATGTTTTCACACCTGCATGGTTTAGACCATTTAAAGCAAAGTCTAGTGTAATTTCCCTCCTTGTTGCAGTTTGTCTGTGCAAACTGAACACAGATCACACTCAAAAACATCTG